GTCATTAACTTCATATAATTTGTTGCGTCTTGATTTTCGAGGGGATTAATTTCAATGTCTTCATTGCAAAAAGCAACAACTTATAACAGAGAGGTTGTCAAAAGAAACAAAGTCTTTTAAATATTTTTCTCTTGTAAATTTGAACACCATTTCAAGTCGACCAAAATATCTTTCAATTAAACACCTTTTCTCTCTCAAAAGACTTTCTTTTGGAACTGAACCAGTTGGTATGTATAAATCAAATCTTTTATATCCCTTATCATCTATTATTTTTGTTGTTTCCAACATATTATTGATTGTTTCAGGCGTGTTTTTAAAATACTCATATCATGATCTGCACCCTGAACTGCTTTTAAAACAAAACTTGCAGTGCCACTTTCTGCATTCACAATCACTTCAACTTTAACACAATACATTTTGTATTTTCCACTATAAAACCTAATAGCTGAAGCAAAATCGCAATTTGGACGTCTTTTTGGTCTCACTGTACAATCGAACTTACATCAGTATTTAACAAATTTTCGTTTCTGAATGCTATACATGCATTTTGAAGTGTTACTCTAAATAAAAAACACTTAAATCGATTTTTATGCTTATTTGTTTGTTAGTTCTGATATATGGAATACACATATATCTTATCATTTTCAAATTATTATATCGACAAAATAAATATAACAAAAGAAGTTTGTCGTTGGGGTTGTTGAAAAATGATTTGCGTCCTCTTTTATCTAGATATATATTTCCAACAACTGGTTGTAATGCAAGGAAAACAAGTGGCTTAAGTTTCAAAAACTCAAAAAGACTTTCAAATCCACCATAACGTTCGAGTAAATATTCGTAAAAAATCTTTGAAAGTGAAAGTGATCGTGCTTCAGGAGGTTGGATTACAGTTTGTGTTTCCGCCTCTTCATCTTCTATTTTTTGTTCAACAATTCCATGTGGCTCAGTTTGATGTGTTTGTCTTTTTGGCATAATGTTTAAATTTGAGTTTATTTATTTCATAATAATAAAATAGAAAATTGTGATCGGGTTTATATCACTAAATTGTGGTTTTTAGTGTAGTCATTCTAATCACTAAATAATTTAATAATTTTATACATAATAAACTTAATTTTATTAAAATGTTTTGTATTAATACTTGTATTGTTGTTTTTTATATTAATTATCACTAAGATAATGTTCTAATATTTGGTGTTTTTTTGAAAAATAGATAAAACCAAATGAAATATAATTATCATAAAGGGGTGGAAAACCCCCGCTTTTGATAATTTTTGGTGAATAATGGTAAAATGTATTCTAAATGTTATTTGATTTTAATTTTTTATTTAAACAAAAAAACATCATTTACATTTTGCTTGAGCATTTTTTCGATGTATTTAGAAGAAGGCTGTTAAAGTCTATTTATATTACAATGAAAAGCTGAGTTATTACAGAATTTATTTGAAATAAAACGGGAAACAGCTTACAATAGTAAGACATATAACCAAATATACATAAATTTTTAATTAATTTTTATTATAATATATTAGTGTAGTAAACGCAGTGTTTGTTAGTCTTATATCGTTTGAATTAACAAACAAAATTATCATCTTTGCAGTCTGCCTCATCATCATCTTTCTAATTTTCAGAGTAATTTATATCAAGTCTTTTTGTCATTGTTGTTTTTGTGCTTTATTTTGTCTTCATAAACACATGAGTTCAAGTCTAAGTTGTCACTGTCGTGGTTTTGGTGATGTTAAACATAATAAACAAACTGTTTGACCTTACAATGAACGAAATAATTTGATATCGTTGCTTTTGGAGATCTTTTTATAAACCCTTATCATTGGTAAAAAAACGTACAATTTTTTTCTAGATCATGTTTGTGATAAAACAATATTAAGTATGTAAATTTTAATTATTAATAAAGTTGGTGCATTATGTAATTATTTTGCTTGGATATTGCCAAATGAAAAAGAATTTTGTTTTTAAATGTTTAATATGTTGTCAATCTATGATTTATATTATAATTTATGACATTGCAAAAGATTAAAATGTAATTGTATTAAATAATAAATTAACTATTTATTATTATAATTTAACCATATCTAGACCAGGCGTCTCCATTTTTTACTCGAAAATACCCACACAACAATTTTTTACCATTTAAATATATATTAAAAACTATTATTTAATAATATTTTTTCATATTTAAAAACATAATTATTCTAAACCATAACATAAGTCATCATATTTTTTTATTCAAAAAAATACTTCGAATAACCAAAAAATATAAAACAATTAAAAAGCAGAAAAATTTAATTGTTATGATTTAATCATGTCCATATTTTGAAAAAGAATAAAAAATAAAATTTATTTTTTATTTATTTTTTACAATTTAAATTATCCACACGATTTTATCAATTTTATTTTTTTGATAATTACCTTGTGAATTATTTGCTCGACCGAATTCACATTTTGATATAACATATTTAAATCACTTCAAATATATACAAACGGTGTTAACTATTGAGCGGCACTTGCTTCAAATCTACAACAAACATCAACAAAAGACTGTAACACATTGGTTAGACAATACACAACAATTGATATATTTGATGTTGTTTTGAATGTTTGAATAATAACATCGATGTATCACAAAAAAAGGTTAATATTGTAAATAATAATTATGTGTGTATTTCACAGACTCGACATATTTAATCCAAAAACAGGAAAACCCAGATTAACAATATATTGTAAATATATAATAAATATGGTAGTAACAATAATGTATTTGGTGAATACCACGCGTTTTTGGCAATAAAAGCTGTATTTAATAAAAAAACAGTATATTAATATTAAAAATTTAGATAAGCAACACAAAAATAATTTATTGATAAGCAGAAAAATACAAATCAATTAATTTTTAAAAAAAGTGTTTTCAAATATTCACATAACAAAGTTATCAACGTGATTATATGATTAAATAAATTAATAACACATATATGATATTTTTAATATAACTTTGATTGTTAAATAAAAATTACATTGAATAACAACCGTTAATGACATTGTTTTTTCAATTATTAATTATATTTTTTTTAGTAATCTGTTTGATATTTTGTTGAAAAGAAAAACCAAATAAAAACAATTATTATTTATTTCGTTATGTAATTCCTTGGATATCCTCATTTTTCATGCAAAAACTATTTGTTTATAAATACTAATAAGTGAAATATTATATACAATTATTGTTCTTGACAATCATTTTATTATTTTTCATATTACAAGACACAACATTGAACAGGTTTATTTGGATAACACCACAACACTTTCATTAAAGTCAAATAAAAGCACCCATTAAATGCCAATTTTCAATTATTTAATAACAATAGTTATTGTATAAGGTTTCATTGTTTATTGCTACACTTTCGCTTTAAAGACAGCTTAAAATAAAGCTTGACAAGTTTCAAGTGTGTAAATATATAACATCAAACAGGAAGCTTAAATGAAAATCGAAAAAATATCATAAGTTTCAACAATTAATGGGTTCTGACTTGTGGCTCACACACATACACATTAAATGTTAAATCGATTTTTCTGTCGTCGTTAAGTTAACAATGAAAAATACAGATTTTTATTAAATTTACATTTCATATTTATTGTTTGAGTTTATCATTGTAATAAGTAACATGAAACAACATGTGATACATTCACAACATGTCATTATAATTACGATTTGTAAATAAAAAATAAAATGTAAAATACACTTAACACACTCTGAGTTTTTTATATTCATATTAAATTGACATTGATATTATAATATATTTACAGTAAAAGTGGGTCTGACAATCATCGTTTATATATAATATATATTAATTGATGATTTTAATTATGTTTGTTGTTTATAGTGGATTGCTTTTTGTATTAAAAATTAAACAATTCAATTCAAAAAAGGTTATTTTTCCCAATTTAAAAACATTTTAGTTTATTATAACGTTTTACCAAAAATTATTTTTGCCAAATTAAAAATATAAATTCCATTTAAGGAATAACTTAACCAAATTATACCAAAAACTATTTTATTAGACAATTATTTTATTTGCTAAAAATTTATTAATAATACCAGTTTGATCTCTAAATACTGAAAAGCAATAATTGGAGACGCCTGTCTAGACCTAAAATTTACTAATAAAATTAGTAAATTTATTAATAAATAATTATATAAACCATAATTATCATTTAACTTATGCTATATAAATGTCTAACCCAATGGGAGGTTTTACTGTAGTAACTGTATATAAATATACTGATTTTGCTTCTTTAGTAGGGGGGAGTGAGGGGCTTGGCCATGGTGTGCCAAACCAGGATGGAATTGGCAGATATAAATAGAGCAGTTTTTTGGCAAAGAAAAATAAAAAATAAGCATGATAATATAAAAAATTATGTTTTCAGCATTTTCGAATAACAATTACCAATAATTATTTTGTTTTTTACTTTTTTTCATTTAATTCCTAAATTTTTTAATTAATTTTTAATTTTTATTAAAAATAATATTAAATTATAGTTATTAAAATATATGTTTTAATTTATAATAACTTAATGCCAATAATCGGTTATTTAATTAATATAATGTGAATATTGTTATCCTAAAGTTGCAAATCACGCTTTTTACGTCTCCATACATCTCCTTATTTATTTTTTCTCAAACTTTATTCCGTCTATTATCAATTGTTTAGTTTTTATTAACTAAAAAAACATCTAACACGAGTCAATTGTTTTTTTATTATATTTCAAAAGGTGTGAAAGTTAATTATTTAATTTAAATAATACTTCTTATTAAATGTTTTGGTGTGGATCCGATTCCAAACATGTCAAACTTTTCGAGTTATAATATGTTTTTTATTAATTATGTTTTGTGTTGGTTTATATTTTTCAATGTCTGTTATTAGTATAAAGAATTCAACTGTATAACACCCAATTGTCTGGTTAAATAAATAACTTAGGGGCCACATAAATTAGAGTGGTCATTTTGTCATAGCCATTCTATTATACTCGGAAATTGATTGACCAAATTTTAACCGTGTCACACTCAATTATCTTGTTGGATAAAATAAATTATAGTGGTCATATATATGAACTATCTCGTCATCACCATTCTATGTCACATACTTGACTATCCAACAAGTATTCATTAATAAAATTTATTTTCGTTATAATTTACTTTAAACAATAAATTTTTATATTATTTTCAATTTCTCATTGTTTCCCAAAGAGCAAAAAATTGTAAATCTAAAAGAAAAAAAAGAAATTATTATTTTTGTTTTTTGGTTTGCCACGTCACAAAAATGCCACGCAGTGCACAAATTGTTACGATTTGGATTATTCTGGGCTTGACGATAATTAGGTACTTGACATTTTTTTAATAGCAATATATATTATAATTTACTATAATCTGCAAACGAGCCAAACATTTTCTTACCAACTCTATATTAAACCTCATACTTATTTAATTTAATTTCAAAATAAAAAGAATTGGTATATTTAATATAAATTTGAATAATCTGAATGAATTATATATTATTATAAATTAATCAATTAATAATTAATTTCCAGTTTATTGTCAATAGAAAATTTTTATAAAAAATTGTGTTTTTCTAAATAATTCATTACCACTTTTTGCAATGAGTAAGTTAGAAATAGTCTATATGATGAATGTTGCGCTTTATATCAACACTGTAGAGTCCCTCAAAACCTTTATAAAAGTCAACAAGAAGTGTAGTTCATGTCTTAATGGTCTCTATATCAATCCATTCATAGATGTCGCAGTTCAATGTTTTTCGATGTTCAAAGAGCAGCGCAATGCATTATACGCCTCAATATTTTTATTTATATTAAAGGCGTTCCCCAAAATTGAAACGTTGCAGTGTGTTGATTATATGTTGGGAGATGACAATAAGGTGATAAATAAAGTGAAGAAAATCCGCCTTGTGAAGACTCCACACAACAGAAATCGGTTGTCTGGTGTTGTTAAATTCACACACAACCACCCTAAAATTGCGCCTCAAGCAATTCCAAAAATAGCGAATTTGTTTGTTGTGACGAAGAATAAGGCAGTTATACCAAATGAGACGTATACGAGTCTTGAGAGTGTGCAGATTGATGGGTGGATCCGCAACAAAGATTTGTTGAGTGCGATATTTGGACTTCCCAATGTGAAAAAAGTGACGATTTGGAATTGCACACATTTCACTTATTTGAACACAATTTGTGAGTGCATTTCTGAAGTCAATTTAAAGCACCAACACAAATTGGACAACGTCAACATTTCTGTGTTTATTGAGAAAAGCATTTCAACAGAAATCTACAGAGAAGAGTTTGAAAGTGCGTTTTTAGCACTCAAACAGTTGGGTGTGAGTGTGTACTACAACACAGAGAATGTCATAGACAACTGTTACGTGTTAGACGAGTCCTGATTTATTGGTGAAGTTGTTGTCACAAATAAAAAGGGATTAGACTTTGGGTGTTTTAAATATGATAAGGTTTATAAAATTAATACTTATAAGTACGAAGTTGAATATGATAAATGGATGATCAAAACAAAACTTCATAAAAATCAAGAACAAGAAGACATAGACGATGGTAATGATATCACTGACAATGATAATGACGATGAAGAAGTTTATTCAGAATATGAAGAAATTGGAAATGTAGTTAAAGTGCCAAATCAAAATATATGGTATGGGGCAGATTCGAGATATCCAATTACATGTCCACTTGTTTTACTTGACAATGTGATACCAACATTCAATCTACAAAGTCGCCTGGTCGTCAGGTTGACACTTTTTAACATCACAAAGCAAACAATTTGCAATTTATTTTGTACACGTGTCACAATTGAAAAGTGCTCAGAAATAACAGTCACGCTGAGTGGAGTTGAGTCCACGTGTTGTGTCAACTGTTCTGCACTATCTCTTGTGATAGAAGACTTTGCAAACACCATCATATTCACAGAAGTTGAACACTCGACTATTGAAAGTCACTCCAATTCCACAATGTGGTCAATGGTCCTCAACAATTCTTCAACTATTTCAATCAAAAACACGACAATTGAAAATTTGAAAGCAACGCAAACAAACAACGTGACAATCGCACACTGCACTTTGGGTAACATCTTCTTTAATAAATGTTCACATGTTTCATTGGACAACACAAACAAACCAATTAAGACTGGCAAAGTCAAGACAAAGTATTTCAGTGATGTCACCGCCTCACATATTCACGCACCACTCAACGGACATTTCAAAGTGTTAAATTCACAATTATCGCAATTCACTAATTTACCAACAAATGATTAAATTGTTGCACTTATTGCTTTGACTGACAAATGCAACTCCACCACAGAACAAGAAGTCTCTTTTGATGTGTTTTGTGGAGTTGTGTTGTATGACGGACAAGTCAAAATGCTGTCATTTGAAAATCAAAAGACAATTCCGCCAAACCTCACAAGTGAAAATATCGACATCAAAATTTCCATCACCAACAACTCAATCAAAGATGTGTTCATCGAAAAGGCAAACCACGTGTATGTCGATTCACTATTTGACATTCAAATACATTGCGGTGTCGTTTCTTCTGTTGTATCCAACATGTCGAATATGGTGTACTGCGGTGTTTCTTTTGATGAAAACGTCGCATCTGTTGTTGATAAACAGACAAAAGAGTCAAGTCAACCAACAACGTCTTTGATACGTGTTTGTGGCAACGTCGGGTTTTGTGGATATTATGTGGAATTTGATTTGGACAACTTTTACTATTTGCAAAGAACGACTCAAAATGTTGAAAATGTTGTTGTCCAAATGAAGAAACAAAAAGTTCTCGATTTTGGACGACTTCCATGGAAAAGAATTCAAATTGAGAACGAGAACAAAGGGACTTATGTTGCGGACAAACTGATTTTAAATAAAAACACCGTGTACGTCAAATTGAATGGAATCAAATTCAAAACAATCGAATCAAATAGAACAACTCAAATAGAACAAAAAGTCACACAAAAAGTTGCTGTACAAAACACGATGTTTGTCAACACCAAAAAGACGAGTGTGAGCTGGAAGAAATGTAAGACAATAAAATGTGGCGAGAAGGTCGAGAAACTGGTTGTCAAGTCGTGTGAGTTGTTGGAGGAAATTGTGCTTGGAGAAAACACACAACGTGTGCATTTACAGTCGTGTAAAAAGCTCAAAAGAATTGTTGGTAAAATACGAGGAGACCAAATCGTAGTTAAGGACTGCCCATTCTTGTTGTCAAATACAAAACATGACAAAAGAAATTAAATCACATTTATGCCATAATTACAGTCAAAGTTGTTATTTATTGGTGTTTTGTTATTATAAATTTAAAAATAAAGATTTAATATGTTACAATCACGTTTTTAATATTATTAAATTAATAATTATATGTAACAAATAAAATGTATTGCATTTACAACACTGTTTTACAAATTTTCATAATAAAAAACATTAATTAATTGTGTGGTATACATAATAAATGGTTTTGTTATTTAGTTTTAATGTGATAACTTGTGAATACATCATCAAAATATAGTTGTTTGTATAACAAGAAAACGTATTATTATAATGAAGACATGAATAGTACAAACATTTTATGTTAATGTGACAATAAAATAATTATAATTGTTTTTAATTATAACAAAATAAAAAAATAACAAACAAATAATTTTCATATAACATAAATATGATAGTGATAGTTTGATTAAATCAATAACTAAGTTGACAAGTTCATATGTATTTGTGAAGAAATAACATCAATTCTTATTTCAACGCACAAACAAAATGTTTGTCTTTAAACAATAATAATACTTTAAATAATAATAAAATTTATGAAAAGTATAGTACTTGAAGTACAATAACACTGTATCATAAATATAGTATAAATTATATTAAAATATAGTTATAAATAGTACAATTTGAGTAAATGAGAAGAAAACTCGAATCAAGGCGAGTACTATAGTAAGTAGTAAAAATAGTTAAATAATGATAGTACATGAGAAGAGAGAAGTGATCAAGTTGGTGTATTATATGTATTGGTTATATCTATTATGTGTATAGTACAACTTAAAAGAAGAGAAATGAAAGGAAAAGACTTCGAGAGTTGCCTTGAGTGTCGTGTGACGACATTAAACGGGTGTTTTGAGCCATTGATGAGTGTGTTGCATGTGTATGAAGAGAAGAGTAGCCCATGTTTGCCTGAAGATTTGTTGATAAAAAGTTGACAAGAAGCAGTGAATGAGATGAATGACGTCTTAGAGAGTGTTAAGTGATGTGAATCGTTGTACGGTGCTGTGATGAGTAAGACAAGTCGATGTTTTGAAGTGAGTGAAGAACTGATGTGTTTAATCAAAAGTGTTGAAGAGAAGTGTTGGAGTGATTATAAAAGTATTGTAGTGATGAAGAACAAGCATAAGATGCGGCGAAGTGTTAAGAAAGAGAAAATGTTGAAACCAAAACGTATGAGTGAAATTCGAAATAATGGAGAGAAAGAGTCGAGTTGTTTGAGTGTGACACGACAAGATCACAACACTAGTGTGACACAACAGAAGACAAAATACCCACGAATACTATTCAGACGAAGTGACAGAACACGACAGAGTGAAGACAAAATTGAGAAATTGAGTCGTTCAGAGAAGTCACAACGACAACTTGAAGAAGATGAAAATAACAAGATGTTGAATAGGCAATATTGGCGTGGAGTGGATAACAATACATGAAAACAGTGTTTGATAGTGAAGTTGATTGAATGGGGCGTGGGAGTGCAAAGTTCTATAAAACGATCAGTCGCTGTGATGGTGTTGTGATAGTCATAGATAGTACAAATGGGTGTCGTTTTTGTGTTTCTTCTTCGTGACAATGGAAAAGAGAAAATGAAGAAATTTTGTATTAAAGAGAAAAAATAGGCGTTTTGTGTTGGTGTGTTAAATTCAAGTTGTTTGTTCACAACAGGAAATAAAGACTTGAAAGTACCACGGAAGATAGACGGCGTGATGGAATGCTCGTTGCAAATGAATTCATACGACTATGGCATCGAAAAGTGCCCATTTGGCATGGAAAGACAAGTTAAAAATTTGGAGGTCGACAAATATGTTGTTTTTGATATGCGTTGCGAAAACAACTCAAAACAACAAAACAGCGAAAAGAAAAAACAAATAATAAAAAGAAACACAAGATGTCTTTTTGGTATAAAACTAGTGTACCAATATGTTGGGTGTACTCGTTTTATAAACAGTAATAAAGATCATTTTACACAATTTAAAGAAAATTGATATATATTATGTTATTAATCTTTTATTTTAATTTATCGAATATACAGTCTAATATTAATAACAGTTCTTTATTAATAAAAAACACATTACAACTATTTGACACACATGTGGTATTATTTTTTATTTAAGTTTTTTATAACAAATATATAATATTTTTTATATCTGTTTGCCTGTCAAATTGATATAATTATATTATATACATTTATTATGTGCATACAAGGAGAAATACATTTTGTAAAAGTGTCATTATTACGTCTTTTGATTATTTTTACTACATTTAAAAACCGTCATAAAATTGTTTCACTATAGTGCACACATTTTAATACATTTGAAGAAATATATTAAAATATTGGTATATTTTCGTTTATATATATATATCAATTAATAATGAAATTACAATATTATTAAAACATCACATATTAATAATCGATTAAATATCTTTTGTTTTTCTTTTGTGTTTTTTTTGCAATCTGTTGTAAAACTGTTTTCTTTTTTTGTTTTAGACGACGTATTGGTTTATCTGTTTTTTCATAAATATTATCGTTAATTAGATCGGATACAATTGACGATAATAAGATTTTTTGCTGAACGTCGACCTCTAAGTCTCGACAACGTGATTGTGAAATTTCACATGATGTTTTTAATAATTCTTCTCTTGTTATATCTGTTATACTTGACGTAGATTCTGTTTTTATTGTTTTTTCTGAATCCAACTGTTGTTCTTCTGATATTGAAATTATTTGAGATAAATACATTTTGTTCATTTTAATCGAATTAGCACTCGAACTGTTCTCGGTTATTTGCAAGAACAATAATAAGACATGTAGCTAATTGAAATTGCGTCAAGATAAGATAAACCCGTTAAAAACAATCCAACTTTCATCTTATTATTAATTTCAGTTGTTTTTCTTTTAAACTCTGTTATTGTTTTTGGCACGTTTTTTGAATTGACACCATTAAGAAATTAAGCGTAGTTTTCAAATACGACATTTTCAACTTCACGAAGAATGTGTGTCAAAATATAAATATTAGGATGAACACGTTCTTATATTATAGGGGGTCTATAAACTGGTTGGGATCCATAAACTAGTTGGGGAATGCTCCAAAACATCGAAACTAATACAATGTAAAACATAATCAATAAATATTTATTGTTATTATTCAAAAGAACAAAAACCCTTGATTTTCCGTTTTCGCTCACTTTTTGAAATAATTTTGATTTATTTGTTTGTGGAAGGAAAATGGATTTATTAACTGGCCAATAATATGAACGCTTTTTGTAAGTCAAGTATTGTATTAGTAAATTTTAAAAATAATTTTTTTACAAATATTGCTTTTTAACAAACCCGTTACAAAGTGACGGGTAAAAATTTGTAATACTTTTTGTTTTTTGGAACGAAAAATGAAACCTTTGTTTTTGTATTTATCAAAAAAATAGTCATCGTTTCTCTTAACGATGATATTTATTTTAATATGTTTATACATGAAGTGTTATATATGACACATGTGGGATAATGTTATAATATTATTGTTCGTCATAAAGGGTAATATGTAAACATATGTGTTTTAAAAAGTTAAAAAAGGAATCCCTGTTAAAATAATTTATCTTTTTTATTTTGAAAAATTGAAATTTCAAATTGTTGTAATGGACTCTTTGATAACATCTATTGAATAAATAAATTGAAATGAATGACAGGTAAATGCACTACATTCCTTGTTGTAAGATTGTTGATTTTTTGAAAATAAAATGAAAAATAAATAGTTTTATTGATAGTAAATTATAATATTGTTTTAGTTTTATAAAAATTAATAAAGTCAACTTTAATAAACACATTCTTGGATATCAAAAGTGAGTTTTTTTGAAAATAAAAAGCTGTTAAAAACATGTTAAATACATTATTTGAATGTTGAGTGTCTGATCATTGTTATTTATTAAAGAATAAGTTGATGTGTAAATCATTATTCTTGATAAAATAATAATTTTATAAACTAATAAATAAGCACAATAAATATTATTAATAATTATAGCATATAATAGTATAATATAACATACATCTTAAGTAAAAACATTTTTTTAAAAATAATGTTTTTTATTCAAATACTTTCAATAAAAATTTAAATCAACATTTATTGTTATTATAATTTCAAATGAATCTCGATAAACAATTGAAATTTAATATTTTATTATATTAAAATATTAATTGTATTAATCAAAAACGTTGTTGTGTTTAGATTTACATTTTAAATAAAATAAAATTAGATAAAAATAAGAATGGATTGAAAAGTCAACAAATTTAAAGAATCGAATTTTGAACTATAAAAGAAAATATTTTGAACTCAAAACAGTCATTCATTGCATTATTTATAATATGTGAAAAAAGATTGTGATAAAAATATAATATATAATATATGTGAGAGCGAGATAATTTAATTTGCCACGGTCGTTGACCACTTTTTGTGTAATGTGTGAACAAAATGTTTGAATGTGTGTTATAGGATAAAAAAGAGAACACGATTCTCTTCCGAAATAATATATTTTATCCACAAAAAAATATAAATGATTTGTTTTTATTCATTGGTTGTTTTTTGGTTTCATTGGTTTTTATTAATTGCTAAAATTGCAAAACAACAAAAACAAAAATAGAAATTAACATGTTTTATACTTCCCAAAACTGCAGAGCAGGGTTTTTCTTTTCCAAAATACATGTAAATAATGTTTTTCCTTTAAAAGTTTCTAATAAATTCCCCAACTAGTTTATGGATCCCAACCAGTTTATAGACCCCCTATAATTAATACACTATGGTAACTTTCACGGTTATTATTGGTTCTGTCATTCAAATCAAACTGATAAACGCGAGCAATTTGTTTAAGAGAAGAAATCTACTGACTTTTATAATAATAAATCATTCTTCGAAATTTGTCGGCGATATCTCCTTTTAGGCCATAAATTTTATCAAAGCGAGATTTTCAAAACACCATTCAAAACAATATATCAATTTATCACTTGGTACAAACGGAAGTGCCATTGATCTTCTTGCCCATTGATGTAAAAGAGGGTCATTATTGAACTCTGATTACAACCCCCTCCTGTGACATTCTTTTCCATACAGCTTTATTTGAAAAAAAACAAATGTGGATACCTTATCCAAGAACATTTTTGGCTGGGACAAATGCAGCTGGTTGACAATCAGATATAAATATTAACTTAATTATGGACTCACCATTAAGTCCATTATTAATAAAAGTATTGATAATTTCAAATGCTCTTTCAAAAGTTGCTTTTTTGTTGGGCATCAATAAAATTGTTATTGCGAAACAATTTCCATTTATTAATGTATGAATTGTGTATAAACATTTTATTAATGAAGTTGCTATTTTGTAAGTGCCATCATCAAAAAAAAACGTGTGACTTAATTTGGCGATACGTTGTTAAAAAAATAAAAAAAAAACAAAACACGCTCTTCGTCTGGTTGTGTTATTATTTAATCAAAAAAGAGAAACCAGTTATTTGTTTCTTCTATTGAAATACCTCTCTTTGTCACCGATAGATGATTTGGAAAAATAAACGAATCAAAGGATAAAAGCAACACGTCCAATACACATCTTTGCATTCTCTTAATGAAACTTAAGTATTTTTGTATTTCTTTTTTTGTTACGAATGAAATTTTTGTTATTTAAAACAAGTATAAAAATTGTTTTTTTGCTTTTAATAATAAATGTTTCTCAAATATACTGACAAATATAGAATAATTGTTTCTATTTGCTAACAACTTGTTGTGATTTAAAAAACGTGTGTTTTCAATCATTTTGAATTTTCCATTTTCAAAGAAAACGACTTTTGCTGAACAACCTCTTGTATTTTATTGTTTGAAATACAAAATGTTTGAAATACCTCTTGTTTTATTTGCTAAACAAATGAAACATTGGTTATTGATCGGTTTTTTCTTTTACTTTTTACATTTTTGGAAAAGTGTTTGTAACAAAAAACACTCGAAAAACATAAAGTCGTGATTAGTTGTACCATGATATACAGTACGATAATTTGTAAAAACATAGGTATTGTATTCATTTATTATTTTTATTGATTATATATATTTTTATAAAATGGGTTGTTGATTAAATATTGTTTCTTAAATGTTCTAAATTAAAAATTGTAACTTTAAACGTTAACAAATGTATAAAAAGTTGTTTTCAAATGGATTTCCATCAAATATTCAAGTACGCCTATTGATTATTTTAAGAGAGTTATAAAATTTAGTTTAATTACTATTATTAAATAATAATAGATATTAAGTAAATGTTTTCGATAATTAATAAATATGTAAATATAAAAATTATTTAAAATTAATACAGTCAAAGTCGCTTATTTGTAGGTTTTCATATTTGTGGGTTAAGTGACCAATCAAAATCAAAACATACAAATAGGTTGTATCTTCTCGAAACTGAA